GGTGGGTTAGTTTAAGAAAATAAGTGCTTTAGTTTTCCAGTCTGCCTTATATGCTGTATTGAAATTATTCACGATAAATGGGGTTTGATAAAAGCGTTGGTTAAACAGAAAAGGGCTTAATTATGACGCGATTTTGTAATATACCAGTTAAATAACTGGCGCTTAGTGTTTAATAAATACAAGTGAACAAAATATACAATGGAAAATTCCCCAGTAAGAAGTGCGTAAAATCACTCTTCTCGAAGTACAATAAGTTTTAAGAGAAGCCACTACAGAGGCAAATGCATTCCGGTTTGGCAGAAAGACTTCCAATGCGGCTAATTTGTAGTTGAGTTTTTTGTTGAACCGAAATCTTGTTGACGTTCAGGAATTCCGTTGATATGAGAATTTGTCACCTCCAAGCAAATGAGCCGTAAAAAGTTGATTACTTCTACAGAACTCCCCTGCTGATGTTCGCCTATTCAATAGGCGAACATCAGCAGGGGTCTATGATTTCAGATCTCTATGAATCTCGTTCGTAATGACGGATTTGCTATTTTGCTAGTTTTTGCATCTTTATGAAGACGCTAGTACACTCTTTATATAAGCAAAACCATTTTTAGAACATTTAGAGTAACAACTTTTAAGTTGTTAAAAAGTGAAGTTCAGTGTAGTTATGTGACATAATACTTTATTTGATGACGTACCTGTAACCTGCATGTTCTTTTAATGTCCATAAGGGTCGTCTCACAATAAAGCATGTTTACAAAGAAAGCCTTCTCAGTGACCTGGAAAACAGCCAGCATTGAAAAGCGGAAACAGGGTTAGATTGAAAGCCAACGCCATCGTGAGTCGTCGTCCGCTAAAACATCCTTTTGAACTAAGACAATCATAACTGCATACAAGAGTTTGCTTCAACCGTTTTGTTGCAAGTACTTTTACTTGCTTGAAGCACTCTGATCACTACATTTATTTTTCGACTGCGTTGTTGAAATGGGAGCGAAGAATCGTCCGATCAACAACCCCCTTGTGTTTTCGTCGATAGTTTTCTCTTTTGCGCTCTGTTTCGTGGCATTGATCCACGTAGAGATCGAGCTTCACGCTCATCGGAAAATGCTTCAAGTCTTGACTCAACAGACAGAAGAAAGTATCCTCTCACGCGGCACTGTGAACAATAAACCGATTGCTTCCGCGCTGCACAGTGACACTGGTAAAGGTGAGTGCTTTGTTTTACTTGTTCGCTGATTCTCACGGTCTTGAAGTTATAACTGTTGCATTTCGCAACAACGCCCTCAATAGTTAGATCCAGTAACTGTTTAATACTGATCAGAAACGTCATTCTGGCGTATTGGTTTCAGTTCAGCTGTTTTGGTACAAGCTGAGAAGATTTCCCTTTCTCTTCTGAAGGGCTGAAACCTAACCTGACAAAGCGTAATTGCGGAGATGCAATTTTAGTACTCCTCGGATAGAAGTGTCTTTTTTTTTCTTTTTAGTGCATGAAAATATATGGCAGGTAGTACAGTAGATAAAGTTTGTCTTTAGCCAGTATCAGTAAAGCCGCTATTGTGCAACGGCATAATTTCGTCTGTAAGATAGAAGGGGCAATTAAATCGACCAAAACATTCTTTCACTGAACGATCATGAAAGTGACATAAATTATTTCTCAGTTGCAGAAATACGCGTTCGTCACAAACGCAACTCGAAAATAAACGAGGAAACAAACGTCAGCGAAATCATCAGTCGAGATGACATTAAAAGGGAGGTTAAACTGGCGATGATTAACCTGGCCTGTATGGCGCATTGCCCGAAGGAAATCAGGGGAAGACGAGGAAGGCCTGGTCCCCCCGGCAAACATGGACCAGTCGGACCTCAGGGACCACAAGGACCACAAGGACCACAAGGATCAAGTGGACCTCAAGGAGATCACGGGCCTCCTGGACCTAGAGGCGATCAAGGCCCTCAAGGGCCTAAGGGCGATCCTGGTGAATCCATCTCAGCTCCTTCTATTGTGTCACCTCCGTCTTCCATTGTGGTAAACGAAACTGGTATAGCCTCATTGCAGTGTGAGGTTAAAGGAAATCCAATACCTCAGGTCACGTGGCTGAAAGAAAATTCGCGTCTTACCCCCGACAAAAGAATCGTGCAAACACGTAATGGCCTGATGATAAGAGATGTGAGGTCACAAGACAGAGGTGTGTACACGTGTAAGGCGAGAAATCTTCTTGGAGTCGTGACCTCGTCGGCCACATTAACTGTTCAAGGTAATACACCTTTTTACTTTGTATGTTTTGTTTTCCCAATTCAGACCACGTGACGTTCTCCAGGGAATTTGCCTTTTGTCTTTTCCTTAATTAGCATATAAAGGCACGTGGATGCACGTGCTTAAGACAAAATTAAAAAGAAAAAAAAAACAGTTAGCAGGGGGACCATCACGTGGTCTGAAATGGGAAAACAAAACTTACAAGCTAAAAACCTCTATTACTTTTTAGTATTATTTTCCTAGTGGACTCTCAGCTTCCGTTACACTACCAGCAAAAATATATTACCCAAGCTTCTGATGAGCTCTTGGATGTACAGTTTGTTAGGTTGTTTGCATGCACACTTTACGGCTTACAATATATTTTTCCTAATTTTATACACAGTTGTACATATTTAAAGTTGTTTTTAGGTGTAAAAATATGGTGCAGTTGAGACGCAATTGGTGGTTCAATATTCTCTGTTCTAGTGAGATTATAGCCTTAGTATTAAGTCTATAGGCTTACGTTCAAGTTAATTGTCAATGAGGCGACGGAGTCAAAGTCGCCCCTTATGACCTAGTGTAAATCAAAAATCGGAATCGTAATAGATATCGA